CATGGTACAAATTGCTCAGGAAGCTTTAAGGTGACATTATTGATGCATTTGGAATACAACATCACAACCTTTACAATGTGCCAAGAAAGTATTCATTTAGACAATTGAGCTGGAAGTTGTGTACATTTGAAATCGTGAAAAACACACAGACTTTGACACTTAGAAAATATTCTAAGTGTAGAGCTTCAAGATGACCTATAATCTTTTGCAAACTTATAAGCTCTTCCACTCAAAATTAGCTCTTGATTCTTGAATATGAAATGAAGTAGTCTCTTCAAATGAAATTGTGAAATTAAGATCATTCAAAAATCATAAAAAAAGTGAGAGAGTTATGGTCCTTGGAAGCTGGTGGAAATTTCTCGAGGAGTCTACAAATGAGATATAAAGTTTCGTTGAATTCCATAACTTTCCACACATTTTTAGATCTTGATCTTTGAACCAGAGTTGTAGCAGACATCCTCAAGTTTATTGTAAAAAAAATAATGAACTCAAAGAGATAGAAATTGACTAAGTTATGAGTTCAATGGCTTTTTCAAAGGACTTGTAATCTTCTTCAAACTTAAATGATCTTCCACTCAAAATTGGCATTAGATCCTTGGAGAGAAGTTGTTAAGGAATCTTTTAAGAGAATCATGGATTTGGAATCACTTAAAAATCTCAAAATTTGAGCAAGATATGGTCTTGGGAAATTGACAAACCATCACTCAAAAATTACAAAAGTGACTTGTAACATTCTTCAACTTTTGATGATTTTCCTTGCACAATTGGTTCTTGTCCTGTAAAGAGAAGTTGTTGGTAAGGATGAGAAAAGTCCATGGAAAAAATAAACACTTCTAAATATTGAAAATTAAGAGAATTATGCACTTGTGACCATAGAATCAAGGACTTGTCAAATTAGTCAACCACCTTAAATCAATTTTTTTAATCCTTTGATCTTTGCTTACAAATTAGGGCACAACGAAGCTCAAGAGACCTTGAAATGATGTTATATTAAAACACACTTGATTAAAATACGCAATGCTTGATTAAACTTGTTGAAGAAGGCATAGAAATAAACACATGAACCTATGAAGTTTCTTGATGAATTCAACCACTAACTTTGAGACAATCTCAACCAAATGAAATTTAGAGAGTCATCAAACAATAGCACTTTGATTCCATAAACATAGCCTTGAAGTTCAAGCCTTTAAAATCCATTAAATATCCAATTAACTGGGAATCGTCCTTTAAAACCCTAGCTTATGAGATGAGATAGATGTATTTGGCTTAATACCTACAATATACAAAGCATATAGAGGAAACATACACAATTTTTTTGATTTTGGTTAGAGGTTAAAAACACAAAATACATACACAAAATACATACACAAAATACACAATTAAAGGTGCTTGGTGATCCCTCAAAAGCAAACCCAAAGATATGAGAGAGTAGAAATGAGAATCAACCCTAATGTGTGATCTTGATGCATTGTGATGATATGAAGTGATGAGGGATCTTAAGGGCAAAAATTGGGGTATAACATGGAGGTCGCATGGGACAACATTCAAGAATATGTCCAATACTATGAAAATACCTACATTCTATAGTAGGAAAATTAGAAAATACATGACATGTGCGATTGTAATTCTTACTTGGATGATGATTCAATTTCTGGTGTGAGAATTGAGTAGTTGAAAGAGCGGTATTCATTTGAGGAGTCTTATCTAGATTCAGGCATGTGTCTTCAAAAATGATTTCTTGAACCTGTATCCAACGATGCAACTAGATTTTGATGCAGCAGTGAGGCTCGTACGACTTCATATTTGGATCGAAGAGCCATGAGGACTTGAATGAGATGTAGAGGATCTTCACTGATTTTGACTAGAGATATTCGATGCTAAATTGGTTGGACTTGAGCAAGAAAATCATTCAGTGATTGACCATATTCTTGCTTGATATTAAGAAGGTGTTCCATAATTGATAATGGTGGGCAAGTCCAGTTATTTGATAATGATTCTTTAATAAATCCAAAATTTCTTTTACAAAATCATAATTATAAAATTGAATATGAATTGATTGCACAAACGTGTTGCACATCAATATGATGATCTGGTGATTTTTGTTGTCCTAATCCTCAAGACGATAAGCAAATTTTGTGGCAGATTCATCTTTTTCTTGAGTTAGTTTGACGATATCTCTAGTGATTATGCGCCAAAGCTTACGGTCGATCATAAAACTCTTCTTTCCTTGAACCAAAAGGTTTTAGTTTGAGCCAGTCAAGGTGGTTGTACTGGGTTTAACAATATCAGTTTTCTCCATGACGCAAAGATGAACAAGATGAAAGAGGATAAAGTTTGTACATGTGCAGAGACAGAGCCACACGGAAAAAAGGGGGAGAGCAAGAAACCGATGGGGAAATAGAGAGAAAAAACAAAGGATAGATGACTTATGCTCTGCATACCATATTAGTAAAATGTGTAGAATCATAAAATATTGAAAAATGAGTCATGCTTTTATTTTCTTGATTGTACAATAATACAATAGGGAGCTATATACAACTCAACACTAGTTAATTAGGGTATGTAAATCTCCTATAATAATTATATAGTAAAATCATAATCTCTTATAACAAGACTATAATAAAGATGTAATCTCCAATAATAAAGCTATAATAAAAGGTATCCCTATAATATCTCTTAACACATAGATCTATTGAACATTCAATTTCAAGATAATGTATGAAACACTATCATGATGTCCATACAAGATAAGTTGGTTAAGGAGAATAAAGAATGTTACATGGCACCGTTTATCCATAAGTAATTATATGCTTTAATTTATGTTTTCATTTATAAATCAATTTTTTACATGTTATTAATTATTCTGAGTATTTATGTAGGTAAAATTGGCAACTAATTATTTTATTACCGAAGCAAACTATTATAGTTTTTTATGTTCTGTTACACTATAATCTTGATGAAGGGAGCAGATAAGGTATTATTTGTAATACTCAATTTTTACCTTTAGTTTTGAATAACTTTTATTCATGTTTAATTTTTACTCATATATAAAGCTATGGAGGGCTACAATTTTGTGAAACGTAATATAGCTGGTAAAAAGCTAAAGTTTATAAAACTACATGTAAGTATTACTTATGTTTTTTAACATTATTTTATTTTCGCTAATGCATTACTTGTATTTTGTGTGTATTAATTAGTAGCTATATGAAAATTTAGTAGCTATATAAAAATTATTTGTAGTCACAAAAACAATCCAACAACTATGAATGTGAATAATATGTTACGATGCATATGTTTAATATTGTCTCTAGAGGAATTATCAATTTATGGACTAAGGTATTAACTATCCATATGTATATAATTTATGTATATTTATTAAATTAATATTATTGTTGTTGTTGCTAGCTTATCATAATTTAAATTTTGTTCAAATTATAGGAGTTTAGCAACGAAACACCATTCCCACAAAAAGATATAGATGACATTTGATTACATTGAGATAGTGCCTTCATATCTTATCATGAAACACATAAACAATAATTTTTCTTGGTAGTTGTAAGCATTATATATAGGCTTTGTTATTATAGATGCAAATATGTAAGGGTCAAATATTTATAGGTTCTCTTAGTAGAGATTTTGTGTGTCCCAAATGTCATTATAAGCATTGTACATTTGGTTTTGTAAATAATGTAAATTTGGTATTATGTGTTATATTATGTATAAAATACAAATTATCTAATTCTGTCACATAATTTGTAGGTTACGTGTAAAATATAAATCAGATCAATCAAAATGAGATTCATAACAAAAAAAATTGGTTGTGCCCCTCGATTATTAACAAAATCTGACGTAAATACTAGAGTTTTTTCCCTCAGTTATTAGCTAAAACTGAGAGGTAAATGATACACACTACATAGTTATAAAATAAAAAATGTTGTGGCTGGGGATCAAACCAATAACCTTTTTACCTATTCCCTCGGTTATTTATAATTCGAGAGGTAAGATGATAGTTTTTCATGACATCCTTTGTTACCTCGCCTCTGTAATCGAGGTAAAATTCCGTTCGCATCCGAGGTAAAATGAGTATATTCATAGTAGTGCTAATGGGCCATTAACTTGACTTTAGTGCCCTGAAATCTAACTAGGAAAACGATAATATATAAAGTGTCGCCCCTACTCAAATAGGGAAATTTCTCACCTTTACATCGTGGTTTACCATGAGGAGAAAGTGATCAATAATATACAAAGGGTCACTAGTTTACTGGTCGAACCACTAGGTCATTGGTCGAACCGAATGACTCAGTCTCTAAAAAATATCATGACACCTACAAAATTTCATAATTTCAAAATTTCTCATGTTCATTATGTAAATTAGAATTCTAAATATAATCAAAACACACACAATAAAATAATAAAATTTTTAAATTTAAATTAATTTTGAACAAGGTCTAATTTCATACAAGGGAAAGTTGTTCCAAATAAGTTTTGAACAATGTCTAATTATTATTTTTTTATCAAAACAACTTTGCTTTGTCCGAGAAAAAAAGCATGCATATAACCTGTTGGTTCACTTGTTTTTACCTGTTCTATCCGGTTCCTACTTGTTCAATAACATATTTGGTCCAATAATCAGACCAGACCAATGACCCCCCCCCCCCCCCTGGTTCTCAGTTCAATCAAGTTTTTAAAATACTGCCTTTACGTCATAGTTTGTCATAAGGAGAAAGAGATCAATAACAATTTTTTTACACATCCTCACTCATTATGGGGGGAAACATTACCAATCATTTTGCATAATGATTGTCAAATGACATAATTACGAGTTATTTGTAAATGAAGGTTAAACATGAATCCAAAACATATAATTATAAGTCTATATCTATTGCAAACTCCAAACTTATCATATATCATACACCAAAAATTATTGTATTTAACACACGACTAACAAGGTCTCGACATATGAAAAATTTGTGGACTAGTTGTGGAATAACTCTTGAACCATGGCTCATAATAAACTGATTGCAATGCAAGGCTTAGATGACTTTTTTAAGGCATGCAAGATAAGTACAATTAGCAAGGACATTAGAAGGATTGAAGAGTTATTGAAAGATGACAACAATTGGGTTGTCATTGTAGATGAAATCAACACCTACAAGGCTTTGGAAGGTCAAAGAAACAATTTTCTTCAAGTTGAGGAAGTTATTTGGATGCAATGGAGTAGGGAACATTGGCTACATCATAGCGACAAGAACACAAAGTTTTTTCACGGGAAGGCTGATCAAAGAACGAAAACAAATGCAATAAGGAAACTTAAATATGACAATGAATGTTGGTGGAAAGGCGACGGACATTGTGAAAGGATACTGGTAAACTATTTCTCAGAATTATTTGCCTCTTCCCTTCCTACTAATATACAGGATGTCTGATCTATTGCGAAAGGGAAACTCAAGCCTGATCATATAAGTTGGTGTGATGGTAAGTTTACTCCTCAAGAGGTGAGGGATGCTTTGTTTCAAATACATCATCTTATGGCGCCTGGTCTTAACGGTCTACCAGCTCTTTTTTTCTAAAAGTTTTGGCACATTGTTGACCTCGAGGTTACCATACTGGTTCTAGATGTCCTGGATAACAATAAAGACCTGGGGATGATAAATAATACTCACATCACCCTGATCCTGAAGTGTAATAACCCCTCAATCCCAAAAGACTTCTACCCAATTAGCTTGTGTAATGTGGTGATGAAGGTGGTCACAAAGACGATTTCTAATAAGATTAAACACATCCTTTCTGAAATCATTGATGAGGAGCAAAGTTCCTTTTACTACTACAAATAACTTATGACGAATCTTTCACATCGAACATGCTAAAAACTGAGAGTATAGGTCCTAGGAGCTCCATGTTTTAAAAAATAAACATAAATTTCCATCAGTTTTCTTAAAAACCGAGGTAATATAATTATAAGTGAGTTCCATGTTTTATCCATAAAAAATAAACACATCTCCTCGATTTTTAGGAAACCCGAGGGAATATAGCTATAAGGTACCTCGATTCGAATCCCTGTTACTGCATTTAAAGTTTTTCCTTTGTTAATTAGTAGTTCTCAAAATATTTGTTATCAATAAAATAAGAATAGGCAATAATAACAAAGGAAATATTTCATTGATAATCAATTACGAATTACAAAAAATAGGACAACATGTAACTATTCCACATATTCAAATTTCTGACTCTATTCAACTTTAATAGTATCACTGTTATAGACATTGTTGAATCTATAATGTTTAATACAACTACCCTTATCTTCATAGTTTATTGTCTAAGCAATAAGTGATGGAGTAATGGTGATATGAGAGCCATTAACATAAGACTGGATTGACTCATCATGACCAGATGGCACAATTGAGGTTTTTTACCAGAACTCTTTAACGAGTTTAGTATAGATTGATCCAGGAAGAATGTCAAAGTAACCATTCAAGTTTTGTTTGGATATTATTTTCCTTAGATCAAAACTTTTGTCTTTCAAATCATCGAAATCAACAAACTTTTTATTGATACAAACAAAATATTTTCATCTAAGGTTTCTGAAGACATTTTTGAAGACAAGAAAAGACTTTGAAACTAGGTTTGAAGACACAAAGAGTTGGAAATGAGACATTGAAACTAGGAATAATGTTTAAATAAAGTGGATAATAGGAAGTGAACCGATCATAGAAGCTCAAACGCCTCCTTGAAAATCTAAAAATATGTTACATTTTGAATATGTGTGATCATTGTTATTCTAGTGCCACATTTTGAATCCACTTATTAACTTGTATTTTCATATAACCGAGGGGAAGAAATTTTAAGAAATCTTACTTTTTAGTATATTTTTTATTTGTATACTACATGATTTATCCCGTTGGTTTCCTTAATAATCGAGTGATAAAACAATCAGATTTTACTATAAAAGCACTCGTTAAACAAATTTTACCCTAATCCTAACTCGTACACGTCATTCTTTGGGAATAACCTTTAAATGTTGTCAATCAAAGAAATAATCCTTGCTTTTATCAGTTTATAACATTGAGAAATTTATTCCCAAAAAAGGAATATTTCCATGAAAACATTTGTGCAAGAAGCTTGAAAAAGTTCTCTATGATAGATTGCAAGTGCGGAAAAATATTTTCAAATGGTTGGAACGGATAACTCATTTAGAATTTGGATTCATGCAATCCATATAACACTTTCCAATGTTTGGAACAAAGATCTCCTTACAACAAATATTTGTTATTCTCCAAGAATCTGGATTTGTTGTAATATTGTGTTTTAATATTTTGTGTAAACAATGTAATGTATAAAAAATAAAGTTTTTTACCTCAATTTTTATCAAAAATGGGGGTATAATTTATCGTGATAATTGATGATATTGGTCATCATCCTTAAACAAATATGGGTTGTCCATTTAATGAGTATCAATACTCAAGACACTACCATTAGTGATCCGCGTGAAACCTAAAAACATTCATTATAAAAGCATTCTGACATCTAAAATTGATAAGGGAACATCATGAAGCGCTTGAAGCTATCTACATCTTCCACTTTAAGGTGTAAAAGAGTATTTGCCATGAATTTATCTATGATGGATTGCAAGAGCAGAAAATTTATTGGGTTTAATGTTTGTGTTCTTAAGTATTTATTTGAGAAGAAAATAATTATTTATCTAACCCTTTTTTGTCTAACTCATTTTTTTTATATCATAAACAAATGCAAGGAAAAGCATTTGAAAATATAGTGGCACCCGACATTTGATCTTTCCCAAAATATCAAGGATTTAAAGATCCAACATATAATCTTCATGGATAAATTAATTTTTATTTTAATATTTTGTGTAAATAATGTAATATTCTGGGTAAATATCGTTGTTTGTAAACATTTTTTTAATTAATTTTTTGTGCAAACAATGTAACGAGTTTTAATTTTAAAAAAACCTACCTCACCCCTCGGTTTTATTGATAAACGAGATATATGAGGTTTTAGTTTTGTAAATAATAAAAGTGTAGATGATGGGGTTCAAACTCATGCACAAACAAATTTATCCCTCAGTGTTTTGAAAACGAGGTGTTAAGTCATTACTTTTCATGACTCTATTTGTTACCTCACTTCTATAGCCGAGATAAAATGCATTTCGCGTTCGAGGTTAAAAGTGCTTTTTGTAGTAGTGATTGTGAAATATCGTCTAATCACGGATAATGCTCTAGTGGCTATGGAGTGTTCCACACTGAGGATACTTTTCCATAAAAAAAATAACAAGGTCCTGTCAAATTCAACAATAACATATTTATCGGTAAATTCAACCACTAATTTTATAAAAAATAAAAAATTTACTTACCATCAATAAATTAAATTATATCTATCATTCCCACCAAAAAATTTCCCTTGCACGAAATGAAAATAGCGAATCCTAACTCCTTAAAAATATTTTAAACTATGCACTTGATATTTACCGTCACGGTGATATTGAACCCCAACTCCTTAAAAAGATTTTAAACTATGTTAACTCCCATAACATCCATCTCCAAGAATTAGGAATCTTTGTCAATGGTGATAGTGGTATCATTTTGAGTTGTGTTTCTTCATGCCGGGCTCTTACATCACTTCAGCTTTCAATTTACCCTAGAGGGAGTGATTTTACAGAAACATTATTTCCAAAATCTTTGAATTTGCCAGCACTGGCTAGTTTAGATCTAACAAATTTTGCCTTTTGTGGTGGTAAATATGGTCGTGTTGAGCCTTTTTTGGCCTTTACCAAGTTGAAGAGTTTGGTTATTCGTAGTTGTATGCTAATAGATGCACAAATCCTCAGCATATCAAGCGAGACACTTGTCAATTTAGCTATGCATGATAATTCACCTCTCATTGCTAGAATAGAGCTATTTGTTCCAAGTCTTTGTACCTTTAATTATACCGGTGACCTCCATACTCACAAAATATGTGGGAGCGGACTTTCTTCTGTTAAACAAGTAAATATCAATTCACGATGATTTTCAGCTTCAGAGGAGGATACTTTGGCTCTATTTAGCTGGCTGTTAGACTTTACATATATAGAATCGTTGACCGTCACTTCAACTGTTCTTCAGGACCCTATCATGTTTTCATACTTTTTTTTGACAATAAACAATCTCATTCATTAGATAAAAAAGAAAGAATACAAACGTAAAGAAAGAAAATGTGTTAGGGTATTTCTCATCCAAAAATTAACAACAACACTAATAATTAAGTCAAATAAGCTTTGAGAAAGTAGAAACCAAAAGGAAGTTACCAATCAAAATCCTTAATCCAATCAACCAAGCAAAGTTCTTCCATAAGAGACAAGTGAGTTTTGGAACCCCAATCTTTAAATTTATCCAGTTATGAATCATATCTTTAGTTTAACACTAGCTTTATCATGCTCAAATTGATTATTCAGGTTCACAATATTGATTAATCTCACAACTTGTGGATGAAACAGTTGTTGACCGGAAGGAGAAGTTTGATTTGCCACATCCCTAGCTAGATTCTCACTCAAAAACACAACTCCTTCATCCAAGTTTCTTTGAAACATTTCATCAAATACCTTGAACACAAACTTAAAACAACCTAAATCTAATAATAACACACCCAACAAAACAAACCAAACAAGAAAAAACAGAACCCACAACAAAACAAGTACAATAATATAAACTATTACATGAACACACACATAAACTCATGGCTTCCTTATCTTCCGGTGGAGGTCATTTTCCATGTTGGTACCACTCTGGATCATCGGTTGGTGGAGGTGATTTTGGTATTACAAGTGATTGATGGTTGATGGCGGAGAGGAGAAGGAGCTTGATGGAGGTTGGAGAAAGAAACGTGTGTGGATCTAACATGAGTGAGGGTTTCAAAGGAATGAAAAGAGAGAAGGAGAAACTTCTTGTAGGGAAGGAACCTCCATTGAATAGGAGATGACCACCATAATGGTGATGAATGACTCTGATGAGGGAGGAAGAACCCCTATAAGAGAGGAGACGGCACCCATCAAAAGAGGAAAACCCTAAGTTTAGAGAGAGAGGAAAGAGCTTCTCTCTCTAAGCACTTTTCACCCAACCTAATATTTTTCACCAAACAAGTAACATATTTTTCATACTTTACTTTTACTTTGATTGGATAATTTTTTGTGTTTTTTAAATTTTGTTAAAATTCAATTGATTTGCATAAAATTGATATTAATTCACCTTCATTTCTTAGATTCTCTCCTTAATTTTTGATATATTGGAGGTTAAGCTCTCTTCTTTATATAATTTAAGATTATTGAAAGTACAACTGATACCAATTCGTAATGGATCTTTATTATAATTAATGAAAGCTTTCATGTTAAAGAAGGTTGCTGTCAAGTCAACTAAAAAAGTTGCAAAATTAAGAAAGGCATTTAAAGCACGCATGGAACCACATGCCATACCTTATGGAATAGTTGATTTTTTTCGACAAAACTCGCCGTCGACTGAAGTTAATATCTCATCAGATTACTCGAGTTCTTTTGTTATACGGGTTGTAAACATTTTTGCAGTGAAAATTGATAGTGTTACATTTTCTGCCTTTAGGATAATATATCATCAAATATAGATACGGTGGAGAAAAAGGTATTATAATTAGCTCTACACACAGGTTGAAATTTTCATAATTTTTGCATTTTTTTTCTCCCTTTTGTTACATATGGTATTGTTATGTCTTCTTGACATATTAACAAGATTGTGTTACTTAAAATGCAAATGACTAAGGCAAACTAAAATCAAAATTTAGCTTGCATTGCTAAAACTCATATGTGATATGTTAATAGTTAAAAAGAAACTGATCACATTGATCTACATAAATGCTACATATATTTGTACATTTAAAATAAAGGAAAGAAAACAATAAACACCACATATATTTTTTAAAACAAGACAACATTGTCAAGAAAATTTATTTAGATGAGTTCAGGGCTAAAAACGTTACTAAATACACTATTCGGTTTAAATTTGAACATTTGTGTTTGTTGTGACATTTCCTCTTACATTAACTACAAGTATATATGAACCTCTTTCATTTGCAAAGTTTCTAATGCCCTCTAAGTTGCCACAATAGAAGGACCGGACACACTTATTTCATTATTAGAAACTTTTAAAATAAACTAACGATACGTTTGTACGGATATCATTGTGTTACGTGTAATTGTGATAAATTAATTACTATTTAATAAAATAAATAAAAAGTATATGAAAAAATAAATATAATAGCAGAAAGAAGATTGATATAAAATCTCCGATGAATAAACAACAATAATGTAAAAAACTAATACATCATAAAATCAGGAATAAACAACTTTATATACATGATTTTTGCTTTTAGATCAAACACAAACCAAATTGTGTCACCAAATTAAAAAAATAGATAATTCACAAATTATTGGGCACATTACTTGAAGGGAAGATTAAAATTGCATTTTTACCATTCCATAAAAAACTACATAACTTACACTAAACTTGTTTAAATTACTTAATTATTCTTAACTAAAATAATTTATCATTTTTAAAAGAAATAATAAATTGATATATATATATATATATATATATATATATATATATATATATATATATATATATATATATATATATATATATATATATATATATATATATATATATATATATATATATATATATATATATATATATATATATATATATATATATATATATATATATATATATATATATAGTACAATTGATAAGGAATAAAGTTTGCAAACATAAGATCATGAGTTTGAATCTCGTATGGGTTTGAATCTCATTTGGTACATTATGAATTATATGTTATTAATTTTATTTTCATTTATATTCAAAAAAATCACAAAAAAAACTATTTTTTATTATTTAAATATTATTTTCGTACTTTTAATTAATGTATTTTTAAAAAATATATATATTTATTTAATTTTGTGTACTTTTTACCGAAATTGAGTGTAAAAATTATAATAAATACAAAAAATATTTCTTTTTATGTTTAATTGTTTTTTATTGGTTAATCAGTGTCAATTTATGTCATATTCATCTTATGATTGGTTAGCATGGTGACCAAGGAAAATTTGATTTGTCAATTAACTTTATTTCCTAATTTGTTGACCTAATTATAACTATAAGTAGGTCACTCTTTCATACTATTTTTCATCCACAACTCACTAGAGTTCTCCTAAAAATTATTATTCTTCACATCGAAGAACAACAACAAAGAAACTATGAAGTCTCCATCAACAATCATTTGGAGATCAACAATCTTATCAACAATTATTTTAGGATTCTGAGCAGAACACCTAAAATTTTTCTCACAATTGGGGGCGAGTTTTCTAACACTATCACACACAACCTCTACACACCGATTTCCACCGCCGCTTCTGTCACCTTCAGGTAAGTCTTTCTACTTATGCTTATGTTTTATATATTTTATCATACATGTTTACCATGTGCTATATATATTTGACTCCTATGAACCATGAATATTGTCAGTAAGTGGTGTAGAAAAATTGGAGGTAGTAGACACTAGTCACGATTCTAATTTTTTTATTTTTTTATTTTATTCTCTATAATTTTCAATATCAAGGATAATGCAACAAGGATGAATTGTATTGAATTTATAATCAAACAAGTTATAGACTAAGTTTTATATACAGTTGAAATTAATTTCATTTATAAAACTTAGTTTCTATGTAGGTTATTTTATAATATTAAATAATTTATTTTTAATTTGATTTTCCTTTTTATCTTTTAGGATGCAAATAATTTTTCTTTATCCTATTAATAGGATGAAAATTTAATTAGTTTTTTATTATTATTAAATCAAAATATTCATCATTTGTAAACAAAAATACAAACTTTTTCTCAATTAACTAATTTAATATTTTACAAAGATATTACTAAACTCCGCTGCTTAATTGGGCCAAGTTCAATTTCTGAACTTGAGCCCTTACTACTTACACACTCTTGTGTTTTACTACTAAACTAAGTTTACACCCTCACCTGTATTTTAGGTCCAGTTCAATATTTGAACTTGGGCCCTCACTTGCCAGACCCTCATATTTGACTACCATGTTGCAAAACACACCCCTCAGCCAATTTGGACTCAAAATATCTTTGGGTCCAGGTTTTCTTCTAATACACCACCTAGTCTTAATTTTACTCCATTGTGCGTAAATAGGTCAAGTTTAATTTCTGAACATGAACCCGTAATATCTTTACCCCGCTCCGTGTCCTACCATACTCTTTATCAATGAAACACTTAAAATAGTTAATCAACGATCAAACCATTTTTCTACTAACATGATTAAACTCAAGACATTTTCGGAAGAAAAAAAAGGATTAAATAGAATTACTTTCAAAATTAACTACGAATTGTGCCTACGATCACTCAACTTACAACCCAGACAAGGTTCAAGGATAATTCGAAATTAATTATATGCAATCCTATACAAAAACACCAACTAACACTACGAACTACGAATTGGGACTCTGATTCCTCATAAGAAGATACGTAGGCATACGACTTAAAAATAGTGGCGAGTTCCCTTAATCAAAATTAAAACCATATTCCTAAACCTTAAACCTAAACCCTAGTATCCTTGTGAACAAGGTAGATGAATGATGTCTAACACCTTTCCCTTCGTCTAAAGTGAGTCAAGAACTTAGAATTTATGTATCATCAACTTAGATGAAGGGTTGAAAATGAAATTGGGTGGTCTATTTATTCAGGCCCAAATGTACATTTGAGCCCAATTAACTAAGGGGTACGAATTATTTTTTAGTAGCAAAAATATAGGGTATAAATAATAAGGGTCCAAGTTCAGAAATTGAACTTGGCCCAATTGTGTAGGGAGGGTGTATAATTAGTTTGGTAGTTATTTCTGGAGTCTGAGTAGCAATGGGTTTGAGGTCTAATTTATTTCTATATAATTAACTTCTATAAAGTAAGCAATTAAATAAATATAATT